TTATTTATTTATTTATATAAATTTTTATTTAATTGCTTAGGTTATTTTTTTAGTAATTTTGTTATATGCTTTTGACATTTCTATTTTTTACATTACTATTTATGTTTAATGTTCAATTCAGTAATAATTTTAGTTATTTTGCAATAGCTTTTTTACATTTTCAGTTTTCAGTTTATTTTTTGGGTTAATTTTAGTACTTTTTTTATGTGCTTATTTTAATATTACTACTGTATTTATGTTTAATTAATTTTTATTTCAGTTTTAGGTCTAGTATAGTACTACGTTTTATTTATTTCTAATTAGTAGTTGTAGTACTTCAACTTATTTTAATTAGACACCAAGGCAACATTTGTCTATTTTCCATCTAATATTTATATTTATTTATATATTTATATCACCTTTATTTAAATGTTTTAATAGGTTTAGTTAACAACAACCCTGGCTCACTCATTCTTTCAATCACTCATTCAATATCATTCAAATCCCCCACTAATTCACTACTCAGTCATTCATTTACTCTTTCATTACATCACTTCATTTATTCATCACTCACTCTGTAACTCGTTCATTCACTCACTCATTCATGTACTTATCAAAGCCCTCCCATTGCCCTGTCATTATCATTTACATCCCAGAGACACACTGAATCGCTTGACAGGTGTCTGGTTCTACACGCCACAAATGGGTGTTTGGATTGATAAATTGTATGGAGCAGTCACCTTCAGAGACATCAGTTCTACACGACTCCTGCCAAACCACAGGCTAGAAAACTAGCTAGCAAAAATGCATGACCATGCACAACTATTTGAAATGTATGGTCAGGCCTCAGACATCAGCATTTGTATTCAGTTTCACCGTGTGTTTGGCTGATTCCACATTTCATTCCACTCATGGGGTAAAACGAGAAACGTCAAAATCACATGTGTTTCATATAAATCACATTTGATGCATGAGGAATTAGGAGAGAAATAGTGTCTGCTTAAGAATATTAATGAGGAACTTTCAAAAGAGTTCCTAAAAGGGAATCCCTTGAAAAGATTATGTGCAGTATTTAAATATTGATATTTATTTATTTTTATTACTTTAAATTTAGTCAGCATTTG